AATATATAATAAATTATATAAAATCAAAATTAAATAACAATAAATCAAATTTAGAGTTAAAAACTTGAAATTAGCTAATTAAAATCTAAATATCCAACAACACAAATAAATTAAACGAAGAAGATGACTTAAATTTAGAATTTTAGATGGTTAAATCAAATTTGTCCCGAGTTTTTGATTAAAATGTTGATTTGTGGTTGGGTTGTGTGGGTTGTGGGTTTTTAAAATGAAAAATGAGCTTAATTTATGAGTTATCTAGTCAAAACTCACTAACCCAAGATGAGAAGCTCAAAAGGAAATAGGCTAAAAGTCCAGCTGCCAAACAAAAGGTAAAATCGAGATTTTACCTGATTTTACGGTAAAATCTAGATTTTATGAATTTCAGATTTTAGTATAGATTTTACACGAAATGTCTTGCTTAAATCGTAAAATCGTAAGATTTTAAGATTTAAATCTAGATTTTGACAACAATGGTAATAATCACTCCGTTCTATAGGTGTTATAAATGGTGTTAGGTGAGGGATGTAAATACAATGGAAAATTAAAGTAGAGGGAGTACAACAATATGGTTTAGAGGAGTAGAGGGAGGTCTTTAAACGATTTCTAAGTATGGGGAGGACAATGAACGAAAACTAAAAGTAGAGAGACTATAGTTGGCTTTAACCCTTTAATTGCTATACCCTGTTATGAACCCATAACAATCTTTACTAGAAGGCATTCCATAGATGAGTTATAAAGTGCATGTTCATAGAATCCATTAACACAAACAACAGGGCATAGGTGAACATATACGCAAATGGTAAATTTACAATGATGACGATGAAGCCAATGATGCGAGGTTCCAACAAAATTATTCTAGCATAAGGAAAGAAAAGAGAATGTAGAATTCATAACATTCCTACCGAATATTTGGCGAATCAATCAGTCATATATGTCTTGAACTGTTCCAACATCGTCCTTCTCACGGTGAAGTATGCTACTGAGGGAAACTGTTGAACAAAAGCTAATGACCTTGTGGAACTTGTTAACCGGGGAAGGCAACGAGGGTATTCTCCTCCAGCTGCTCATTCCATTCTCACCATTGATCTCACAAACGCAAGCTGGGTATTTGTTGTGATACTCCTCATTGAACACATAAATCAGATTGCCCAATCCCACGCATTTCAGGCTCACAAATTTATCTTCCTCCTCATTATCCACCAAACTATATAGCAAATTGTGGGGCATAATCGCAATCTCAATGAATTCCATGGCTTCCTCATCGATCTTCCAGAGATTAAAGGATGGCCCATAGGGGGTGGTGCACATTCCGGCCAAAACAAGCATGTCTTTGCACGCAATCAAGAAAGAAAAGGTAACCCCAGGAGGCCTCAAGGTCTGCACCTCGCTCCAAACATGTTTTTGCAAATCGAAAGATGAGATGAAGCACGAATAGATTTCAAACACGTAGAACCTCCCTTTGAACAAGGCCGATGTTAGAGACTGACTGGAGTTCCCTGACTGGAAATCCGCCGGTAGGGGAGGGCAGAGCTTCCAGAAATCGAGATTGGGATCATATATCTCCACGGCTAACCTGTCCTCGATATCAACCAATCCACCAATAAACCTGACCCCACCGGCGACGATGAATTTGAAACCGAACCCACCAGAGCTTCCATCTTGGAAGACCCCCAAAAGGGGATTGATTCTAGAGTAATTCAAGGGAGAGGTGAAACGCCAGGAGGTTTTGAGGACAGGGGTATAGCTGAATTTGGGGGTGGTAGTGAAGAAGAACCCATTAGAACCGAGGAAGGAAGAATCAGAATCATAAAAGTGGGGGAGGCGGAACCAGGAATTGGAGATGGGATCGAAAGCGAAGGCCTGGTTGTTCTTAGAGGAGGTGTTGTGCAGGCCGATGAGGAAGAACCAAGGGTGGGAGAGAGAGAAGGTGGAAAAGAAGGGGGAGGAAATGAGGGAATACCAAAGCTTGCAGACGGATGAGGCGCGGATGAGGGAGGGAATTGGGAGGAAAGAGAGGATGAACTCCGTGAGGTCGGGGGTAAGGGTGTTGATGTTGGGCTCCCTGGGGTTGTTGTCTGACATTGAAGGGAAGAAGAAATGTGAATAGCAAGGCAAAGGGAAGACAGGCAGTCGGAGGCAGCAAGTCTACGAGAATGAGGGAAATGTAAGAAATCATCAATCAACCATAACCTTAAATACTAAAGGCAAAAGGTGCAGATCACCCCCTAAACTCAACAACTGGTGGCAAATCACCCCCTCAACCCACTTCACGCGCAAATCAACCCCTCAACTCACTTGCAGTGGCAAATCAGCCCCTCTCTTAACTCTTCCGTTAACATTTAACAATTTGCTCATCAGCCCTTCCTCTGTGTCTGACGTGGCCTTCTTTTTTGCTGAGATGGATGTTGAGGTGGAGGCACAGCTGGACAAATACCTCAAAATCAGCATATTACAAATCTGGTGATACGGGTAAACCTAGAGGAGGAGGAGATGGTGGTGTTGGAAAAGATTTTGATGGCTGAACGAGTTGGAAGACGAGTTAACTCAGCAGTTGCAGAGTCTAACTTGTTCGAGATGGAGTGCGTCCACGTTGGGAATTTAGTGG